AACTTGAAAAAAACCCCTAAAAATTGGTGAAAATTGGCAACAAAGGACCGTTAGGCCTTTTAAAAGTCACAGGAAGCCATTTTTATGGCCAGATACGAAAAGTACGTAGAAAAATACATATAGTATACACCCATAGAGGGTGACTAAGGTCGAAAAACATTCAAAAGAGCTGCCTTCAAGTATAAAAAGGCCGCTAAAATCGACATCTCGGTCAATTTACACATCATGGGAATCCAGGTACAACTATGATATTTTAATATGTTGTATGGATGGATAAGAGCTGTTACCTGGTACAATATGAAAGTTGTACTCCCCTTTCTTGAACCCTAGGCGCGGCGATTTATCGATTTTTTGCCGTTTTTGACACTTTGGGCCCAATTTTCTCGGAAATTTGGCAACGTAGGAAAAAATTTTACTGAACATTGTTTATTCATTTTTTTACGTACTTTTCAAAAAGGTACACAGTTTTTGGATTAAATCAAGTTTTGAATGTGTTAAATGGAAAAAAACCCTAAAAATGGGCCAAAAATGGCAACAATGGGCCATAAGGTCCCTTAAAATTTATCGGAGGCCTTTAAAAAGGCTAGAAACGGAAAGTACGCAAAACATACATAGGTATCATCTGCTGGAAGAGTGATAACAGTCGAAAAAGTCGACGAAAATAATTATTTTTCGATTCCAGGATTTTGGGTTTGAGGCGCTGCTGCGCCCTTGTATGGGCTCCGTTCGGTCTAATATTTGGCACAGAGTCTACCTAAGACTAGTACTTTGAAAATATGAAACATTTACCAAAATCCAGGTGGGGCCGGAAAAGGCCCAAAACGATACTCCTCTTTTGCATACTCTCCAGCAGGAAAACGATGATCTTCCATGTTCATTTCCGGCGGAAGTGATGAGATTCTGGGTTACACATCCATTGAGGCGCAAATCCCACCATGATCCCATGGTTTGTCTTGAAATATCAGAGAATGCGTTTTGGGATCAATCAGTCTAGGGAAAGATTCTCCATCGATGTTTACTGCCACTTTAATTTTGTCCATATTTTCCGTGTGAATTTCTAGGTTAGCCCCATTGTCAGTTTGAAAATCCTTAGCATCTTCTTGCCAGGTTTCAACGTCAAAAAAAATCTAATCATATTCAAAATCTTCACAATCTTCAAAATCTTGCCATTCACAATCATCAAGGCAATCCAAACATCGAGGATATTTAGGTTTTACCCAACACGTAAAACAGTTCTCTTGTTGTAGATTTCGGTTAGTGAAACTGATTTGACTGGAATGAGGACCCCGTGTATACCAACAGCACGCTGCAATCATGACTAATCAAAACTCCGCAACCAAAATCTGTCCAATTACGAATCTTTCCAAAAGCTGGGCCATCCCGATTAAATAAGGTACTAATTCCTCTAGATCGATCCAATTCAGACTTCAAGCCGCCTTCAAGACGGTTAGGTCCCAGATTAGATTTGCAATTGTCCAATTCAACATTTTTGGGTGCAGGGACACAAAAATTGGCCTCCTCATGGGCAGGTTTGCTGTCTTCAGCGTCAAAAAAATATTGATGATCATCACTCTCCTGGTGACTTTCAAACTGCGGGGGTTGGCAGCTCGGTTTAAATTTCCCCGCGAAATTTAAACCTGATTTCCGTTTCCCGAATTATTTTCAGTTTTCTCTTTGGCTTCGCGGCATCCGCAGGCTCGCACAATTACGCCATCTGTACCGCAGCCATGACAGTAGAGTCTCCGTGATTCCTTGCATTGTTTCCAATCGTGGCCTTCAGTCTTGCAATTTTTACAGAACCGGGGTTTCTTTTCTGGCTCGGTGGTGTTACCAGATACAGCCATTAATTTTCCATTGCTTGCACGTTTTCCCGTGATTACACCAAACGCGGTTTCCGGCAAATAAGAATTGGAGGCTTCCGGAGGAGGTCTATATATCACATTTTCTTCCCGAGTCTCCTCGAATTCAACGGTTAGTTTGAGCAAGGAGTTCTTGTCCTTAATATTCTGGCGTCGGACGTATAGCTTGTACTCCGGCTGCAGATTGTGGAAGAACCACTCATTTCGCTCTTCTTCCGTCAATTTGCCGTCGACGCATCAAAGTTCCTAGGGCTTCAAAATATTCGCGCACCTTCTCATTAGGTCCAAGAGTGCGATTCTAGATTTCCGTCACTAAATGGAATCTTTCCGACTGGCGACTTGGACGGTCAACCGTTGGAATTCGGCGGTTTACCCCGAATCTCCACCGCGGCGGTGCATGTTCGGGGATCGAGCACCTCAACGTTTTCATGTAAATAACTAAGATGGCGGCGCATATTGCGCGGGTGTTTTGAATTTATGGATCGCGGGCAAGATCCTCACTTTAAGCGGACTTGAAGCAACCACGTACTTAATTAAAATTTACATTTAAATATGTTTATCAAGTTAATATTAATTCCTGATAGTCGAATGAAGGAAGTTTTCTCCCGTCAAGACAAAAGCTGCAATGTCGCCGTTTATCATTGCATTCTAGGAGAGAAAAAGTAGCAGCCAGAAGAATGAGTCTTGAGCAACCATCCTCAGCATCCATTCCTTCTTTTAAGATATTTTTTGTCATCACTTATCAGGGATGCAAAATGAAATCTAACATGATATGAAAGTACACAGATTTCTAAGGAGGAGTGTACACCACCCTTAAATTATCTTATAATAAAATTAAGAGTTTGACTCTCATTTCGTTAAATATTGAGATTTTACTGATTCTACGCATTTCACGGCCTACTGAGCCTATTGCAGAAGTTACACTTTCATGAAATTTTGCCTTAATGAAATTGCATGCAATTTCGCATCTCTGTTCATTATGGAGCCCATTCAGCAGGCTATCAAGACTGAGGCTGCTTTAAAAATGTAAATGGTGCTAGCAAGAAAGTGGTTGGGCCTCTAGGAGGAACATATTTTTTCAAATTAAAATTTATCATGAGGGTGAAAATTCTCACACATCAGGCAAATAGGGATTGTCCCCTCCCCCTTATTCAGTGAGAGTACTAACATTTTTCTGGGACAATTTTGGTCAATTTCGCTGTGAAGTGTGTCAGCAGCGCCCAACTCCCTCCCCGCAGGCACAAGACCTCTCCAGTTAGATTTCCCGGGTCCAGCTGAAATGGCACAGCTACATTTAATCATTCAATCTAATCTTTCAAATCTACGTTTAGTCGTACGTTTATGGTAGACTTCAGACTTCGATACTTGTCTGTTACGCATTTGCAAACATTTGTTTTTTTTTTGTAACAGTCTTCAAAACACCAGCATCATTGTCCGGTGGGTTTTCCATCAGAGTCTACACACTTAGACTCATCACTGACCAATTTCTCTGGAATATCTAGCATTAATGGTTAAAATGTAGATTTCACTTTGCAGATAAAGTAGCTGGGGGCCTAAAAAAAAAATTTTCACTTATATTAACTTCTGTTAGGAGTCAATTGCCTGCATTAATTAGGGTTTAAGATCTTTACAAATCGAATATTATTGTAAGATTTCACGAGAAAATGCATTGTACGTTGAGCCTAATTTGCTGCTGACCTTAAAAGAAGCATGTGGACTTTAGGTCTGGCTGTGTTATGAGAGGCTGCACAACAGAATCAAATGATTCTCTTGAGATAAATTCCTTACCTCTGAACTAGAAAAGCCATTGATTCAGCTTTGTTCTGACCCCAACACAAATAAAACAATCAGCCCAACAGGCAGCAAGCGTCAAGAGATAGTTATGCATTTATCCTCTCAGTGATTTATGCACTTGGTCTGGAAAATACTGAAATAATGGTTTATACTGCTGAGAGCAATGGAATTTGTTGGATATTCGATGTCTTTCGCAAATATTGACACATTACGGCAAGAGACCGGTGTTACCTTTGATGCATCAACGAAGAGGTATCACAAACAACTTCGAAGTTAAAAGTTACAAAATCAAGCAGCGCTACTACATTTAAATTTGAGAATACTAGATATTCATACCAATTAATCAGAAACGTTTGGAGACTTTTATATGTAAATTCCGGTGGAAAACCCACTCCATGAAGACATTGGTACAATGAACAAGTGGAGTGAAACAGTTGCAAAAAGTAAACAAATACTTACGTTCGCGTAACGGTGAGCTTAGCTTATTGAGGCTAAAATGGAACGACTGAAACAATTAAATTAATTTGGAATTATTATACTATAATCGATCAGCACACGATGCTTGGGCATGCGACCGTGCGTGAAGGTATAATTTCGTAAACAAATATGGCGGCGGTCCGTCACAACGTTGAGAGTGCCGAACCCCCGAAAACGCACCGCCGCGGTGGAGATTCGGGGTAAACCGCCGAATTCCAACGGTTGACCGTCCAAGTCGCCAGTCGGCAAAACCCCACTAAATGGCAATGGAAGTTCCCTGGGAAGAAGTACTCGACGAAATGGTCCAAAAATTCCTTCCAAGTAGACCATTGTGCGAAGTCATTGCGGTACTACAGCGTTGCCTGCAATGATAAGTAGAGACTTCCAGTTTGCGCCAAAAATTTTCTTTTTTTATGCCCTTTGGAATGACGTGTCACAAGATGGAGGTTGCCATTTGAAAAAAAAAAGGTTAGGGGGACTGGGGGGTCCCCCTGGGTCCCCCAAAAATTTTGACCCCCTCAAAAGATAGTTTCTTTTGGTCTAGGAACTTACCACAAAGCTCGTTTCTCTAGCTCCAGCCGTCTCCAGACTTATGCCCCACCCTGTATTTGTACCTACTTGTGTGTGTGTTTCAGACGCTGCTTGCCTCTATCATTAGGGTCGAGCTGAAGTATGACACCTTAATGATCCGTACCTTAAAAACCAATTGATTATCTCAGATCAACCGATATCCTGGTTATCATTGATGTCACTTGTTCTGAGTTGTAATTAACCTTATCGGTCCTTCCTTCCATTAAAAGAACTGTATGTCTGGTTTCAATCAAATACGAATCATTCATGAACAGTCCATCAAAATAAAAGGCTTCTTACCGAAGTTTGTTAACATCTGAAGGTGATGCTAGATCAAGACAAGAGGTTGATTGGGCTCTTTTAACTCTCCGGTCATTCCTGCCACCATGCTCTCTTTCCAGTTCTTCACCGCTACCACTGAAGATAGCACTTTGCTAGAAATTAGCGTAAAAACATGAACATGGGAGACAAAACAGCAAGGTGTACTTCACATCCTTCAATTCGATCATACTTTAAATGGTACTTTGAATGTGGGAAAAGGTACTTTCCCCAATCTGCGTACATAGCATCCATGGCCGAAGAGCATTTTAGACAGGTAACAGTGGGCAAATGGGGTTTGTCCACTATGGCAGATCATCTCTTTAGTGAAAAAAAAGATCCCAAAACGTGCGCCGCTAAAAAAATTACTCCCCCCCCCCTCCCCCAAGTGGCTTAGGTAATGCTTGAACGATCCCTTACTGAAAAGGAATTGCTCCAACCTACTTGAAGCCCTGTAGTCATCTTTCTTCTTCCCATCCCCAAAATTTTAAAAACTGAAAAAATATTTCACCCTTGGCTGGACTAGAGTTACAATATACTTGCAGAATTTGCAACCCTCTTCCTTCAGTCAGCGTAGCCTCAGAATTAAGCTTGTCCTTCCTCGAGAAACGCTAAAAGTAGGTTAATTTTTGGATTCATTACCTATGATTTAACTGGGAGTGCGAAGTTGCCTATTTTCCCTCAAAACGTATTATTTCTTCTGCCCAGACATGAAAGAGCGCATTAATTAGGAGGAAAATGGACTTTGTGTTGTTCTATTTTTACGGTGGCGTTACAGAATTTTTTGCCCCCCCCCCCAACCTTATCCAGGCCTCTTGCAAAAGTCTTTCAAGTTAAATTAAATTCTGAAACAACCCTCCTCTCTTTCTCCACTTCCTACTCTTCTAGAGACCTGTCTCAAGGGACTTTTCAAGGAAATAACACTTTGGTATAGCTCATATTTTTAGGACAAAATGTCCAGAAATTATCACGGGTTCTCAAGAATTTCAAAGGGGACCCAAAACCCAAAATTTGAAAAGTGACAAGAAGAGGAGGAAAATTTTTGATATCACTGGTGCAGGGCACTAAAGCCCTCAAACAAAGGGTACATTAAGATCTTAAGTCATTGGGCTGAGACTAAAAACGATTTTCTCTGAAAACCAATGCTTCATTGACACTGTGTTTTTCCTTGACAGGGCACCCTCATAATGGACAAAATTACCTGAGAAAGGTCAACCAGCAGCCAGCAGATATAAAATGTGACAGAGCTGTATGATGGAGCTTTGCCTGTTAGTAGGTATCCAAAGAAAACATGGAAAACGAATGATCTAATGGTAAAAATAGCAATATTATGCAGTTAAAATTCGTATTGAGGAAATCCCAACTGGGGGAGAACGTCAAGCTCTTTTCAACTGTTACTTCCTAACCTAGGATAAGTTATTATTATTAAACTTCACTCCTCAGCGGTACTTTAAGCGATTTCATTTATATTATTAAAATGAATCTATTTTATTTTGTGTTGTAAAGAGCTCATCTTGCCAATTATGACCCTATATACAAAACAGAAATGAGAAAAATCACACTTACTGGTGGCACAGCTTGTGTAAAAAGACTCCGTACAATCTGTGCTGTGTTTCCTAGGTCAGTTGCTTGTTCATTCTGCATGAAAAATGTGTGCTGAAAACAAGCGTCTCATTAAAGCTTTTCATTGATGCATGCATTCTTTAAAATGTTGTCAAAATTAATTTCACGCAGAACATGATTTCCAGTTGCGTCCAATTAAAGTTGTTGGGTCAGAGATACTCCAAAACTTCATGTTTAACTTCAATTTCGATGTTTCTAATGTTAATCATGAAATCAGCATATCGAAATTATGGCTGCTACGAATCTTTATGAGATTCAGGACATTACCATTGTCAAAATGTAGGAGCAACGATTTATTTCGCAGAACTTGAGGGGCAAGGCTGTAACCCCCTTGAGGAACATTTTTGGAGAAGAATCTAAAAAAGAAAATAAGGCTTATTTGGACCCAACGAATACGATCCTGAAGTTTAGTGATTTAACCTAGAATCACCCTGTATGTCTAGCATCTGATGAACAAAAGGTTATGGTACGTACAACTAACGGAAGACTTCAACACTTATTACTAGCATATAGTTAGCATACGACTAACTACATGTCATTTGGATTTCATGGATAGCTATATGTGCTAGCGCATATGAATTACCATGGACTTATTTTTTTAAGCTGCTGCCCCCCCCCCCCCGAATCAATCTAAGGACTTCTGGTACAGTTACCAAAATTTTCAAATGTACTTTCACAAATGTAAATTTTACAAATCCAAAATGTACTTCAGTGAAAACGAATAGGAAAAACTTTAACGAAAACCTCTCCTTGAACACCACACTGAGTTGACCATAAAAAGTTTACTCAAGATGATATACAAAATCAATTGATTTCTTCCTTGCTTAAAAAAAGCTACAGCATACACTGCTAGGCAGTTTTGGGAACTCATTCCCTTAACATTAAAAGCATAAAATACTGACTTCCTCTTGACCTCATGAAGTCACTGATTGATTCTGCAGGTAAGTTGATTACTCACCTGATAGACGCACATTCTCCAAACATACTTTGCCGATTCGACATCTCTGAATTGGAATTGAACTGTGTCATCTGAAACTTGACACTCGATTCCAAAATAACGCTTATGATTGACGACATTCGTTATTTCCTTCCACCTACAGAAAAGCACTGAGTTAGTTCTACAAATTGAGTCTAAAATTATTCCTCCTCCCTCCCAACCTCCCCCCAAAAATGGCTCTGTCGAGGATTAACTATGAGTTGGGTTCAGAACCAAGAAAAATGACAAGAATGTCTTTGCCTTTGGCAGATATACTAAAAAAACAGGATCTGACATGATATGAGAGCTAAAATTACCACCATTATTGTAGCTATTTTCGATATAATGTCAAATTTTAAAATACCTGAACTAGAGGCTTACTTCTTATCCTTGATCTGCGGTTTCCGACCATTCTGAAAATTTGACAGAACTTTATGAGAACAGAACTACTGACAATGAGTCGCGCCCCTGATGATGATCCAACAGGTCGAAACGCGAGTCGAATTGTTTTGAATTTTCTCTGACTAGTGAGTTTCAGTGTATTTTCCGAAGAAAATACACTATTGCATTCTCCCATGATGTCGAACCCAGACCTATAGTCTGTTTCACGTAAGCTGAGACTTTTTATTCGGCATTAAAATCCGTAAATGGCAACGCATCAGTCCCGAACGCGGTGACCTGACCGCTCGCTGGCCATCCTCTTTTGTTCAGCGACGAGAGGCCGGCAACCCGTCCATTGTGAGGGTAGGAACAATGGGCACCCTTCATCCCTCCTTAATGAGCTCTAGTACCCGGACCCAATTTTCTTTCTCGTTGAAAAATTAAACTTTTAGCGTGAAAATTCAGGTCCAGCGGGAAATTTTGATGAAAATGAACTAAAATTTCATCCGATTATCTTAATTTTTACCCGATATACGGCATTTGTGGTTGACCGCGATTTGGGAACCCTTCATCCTTCCTTAATGAGCCCAAGTACCCAGACCCAAATTTTTTTCTCGATGAAAATTCCAACTTTTAGCGTCAAAATTCAGGTCCAGCGGGAAATTCTGATGCCAACAACGGACTAAAATTCCATCCGATTATCTTAATTTTTACCCGATATACGGCTCTTGTGGTTGGCCGCGATTTGGTTCGATGAAATTAAATGATTTTAAAAAATTGTTTCATACCGTTGTTCATGCGATTCTGCAGTATTATCATAAAAATATTTCACTAAAAACGAGAGAATTACACAAATTGCACAAATGCCGTATATCGGGTAAAAATTAAGATAATCGGATGAAATTTTAGTTCATTTTCATCAAAATTTCCCGCTGGACCTGAATTTTCACGCTAAAGGTTTAATTTTTCAACGAGAAAGAAAATTGGGTCCGGGTACTAGGGCTCATTAAGGAGGGATGAAGGGTGCCCATTGTTCCTACCCTCACAATGGACGGGTTGCCGGCCTCTCGTCGCTGAACAAAAGAGGGTGGCCAGCGAGCGGTCAGGTCACCGCGTTCGGGACTGATGCGTTGCCATTTACGGATTTTAATGCCGAATAAAAAGTCTCAGCTTACGTGAAACAAACTATAGGACCGGGTTGGTATTTAATTTGAGCTAGATCGGCCGAGCCGTTTAAAAATGGCGAGCTTTGAAAGTTTTAGGGGAGGGGTGCGCGTATGAGGGGAGCCGGCTGGAGCAGAGCCGCACAGTGAGTCAGGGGGAGGAAGTTTTTGGACAAGCTGATCGTCGCACAGCGGGTCAGGGGGAAGAAGTTTTTGGACAAAGTATTCGTCGCACAGTGGGTCAGGAGGAGGAAGTTTTTAGACAAAATTTTTGTCGCACAGTGGGTCAGGGGAAGGAAGATTTTGGACAAACTATGCGTCGCACAGTGGGTCAGGTAAAGAAAGTTTTTGGACGAACGGTTCGTCTCACAGCGGCCCAAGGAAAGGAAATATCTGGGAAAAAACCCATCCATTTCACAATAGCTTACAGACATACGATTCTATGACTACGCCAATCCCACTTCGGGAAATACGCTTCCTTTCCGCGGTGGATGCGCGGGATACTTAAAAAGATGAAAAACTAGATGCGCAGAAAACCTTGAGAAGGCGCGCGCGAAGCGCGCGTCCTGGGCGCCGGTTTTTTTAAACTTTATTTTAACCTTTGACCTAGTCTAGTACTTTTAAAATATTTGCTCAGAACTTTATGTTGCAACAAGCCGCAGTTTTGTGTACAAGTATGGTATGCTAACTAAGGAAAGATACTATTGTTGAGAGCATTACATAAATGATTTGCTCTATTGTATTTGCTATTAAATTTGTTTCTCTAAAAATGCGTTCTTCTAGAGTATTGCATTAAATTAGAGCTTTTAACAATTTGAATTTGCAATGTGGCCATTTTGCATATTTTTTGGGTATGGATTTTTTTTAAAAATGATTACAACGTCAAATGCATCTTTCCAAAATAAAACAAAAAGCTGTTTTGTAACTATGATTACACTGAATAAGTGCAGCGCTGTTTTTGCACCTTTTCGTGGTTTTGTTTCTTTACATTTCTTGTTTTGGTATTGAGATATGTAAGTAATCTAAGACTGTAATTTTTATTCATTTTTCACCTGATAATAGCTGTATAGGCCGAAAAGACCTCTAGGGTGCATGAACTTCACGCACACACCCCCTTCAAAAACTGCTGCATCGGATCCACATATCATGGCGCCCATGTACTAAATTAGAGAAAGACAAAAATAGTGGTGCATGGAACCCACGCCCTGAGGGATCAACTACGCATGCGCATCGAATCCACAGCTCATCCTGTTTAATTTTCGTAGGATGGAAAGTTGATGTATGGTCGCAATTCATAGTCATCTAATCGTACTTTCCAGCGATTTTACATGTTCTAGTTGACATAAACGTATGATCAACCTAATAAATGTGTTAGATAATTGTAATAATTGCATGGTTTAAGAAGAATAACGTAAGCTCAGTCCTTTAACAAATTTGTTTTCATACACATCTTATCTCTTCAATTTACTACTTCATCAACAAATGTGGCTAGCGATTAGTGTGGTCCAGCAATTTGACGCATCCCATTTGGTTTGAAGGCCGACTCTCAGAGTGAAAAAATTTGATTACCCGCTCAACTTTTACTGTGCTTGAGTGTAATGATTACCATCAGTTCTCTCTACTTTAGAAAACATTCTACTGTGCCCATTATATTTTCGAGATTTCAGAAAGGATCTTGAGAACTTGCAAATTTTGATACACACATGAATTTAGAAAAAGGGTTCCTTTTCACCTTTTCTTTTTTACAAAAACTGCAAATTAGCACCAAAAAGCTACGTTTGAGTCCACTATTGGGAAGTAACGAAAAAAAGCAGATTGGCTATTTCCCCCTTTTTTAGGGAATTTCTTGATCAAATAATTTATTTGTCTCTACTTCTTAAAGAGGAAAATTTTCAGCATACCACCTCTCCCCATTTTTTCCATTTTAGTCACCTTTCGTCCATTCATATAAAAGTCGATAATTGATTTGTACCTTTTTTGCAACTCTGTACCTCTGTGCAATACAAGTGCAGTTGGAAAATCAAAATATTCAAGGACGAAAGTGAAATAATGGCAACACTGACAGAGACTGAATAGACAAGGCCAAAACGCGTCTGCAGTTGCCTTCCTGAACGAACGTACGTTGTTGCACCAAACAGCATATCTCTTTGAGGGAAATCATATGAGCTTTTTCCCTCTGTATTGAGATTTTCAGCTTTATGCTGAATTTTTAACGGACGTTGGCAGAAAACTCCAACATACTGACAAGTCCTGAAAGGAGCACCAGCAGCTCATTGTTCCTCGCTGGCTATCATCTGCAATTTAAAACCCCTTAATCTTTTCAACTCTCAGGCATCCATTTCAGCTGTGCTCTAGGAATTTTTTTCTGGTCTGAAATTTTACATTTTAGTAAGCATTTTTGGGGTAAAAAGGTGGAAAAAACATCTTTGAAAGGCTGCGTATCTCATAGGCCAACAATGACAATTTGACCCGTGAGTTACATGCATGTGAAAATACTTTGCCAAGCATACTAATGGGATGGTTGCTCGTGGTTTGCTGGAGAATGCACCTCGTAAGCTCAATTTCTCTTTAATAAAATCTTCTAAACTTGAAGTAAAATCTTTGGATGAAAAAGCGAAACTTGGAGGACCCAATCCTAGAATTTTAAAAAAAAATTTAATCAGCAGAATGGAATATTTGCAAAACTTTAAGGAATTGGCTGTGTTCATTATGTTTAAGTATGAAAAAAGTTGTTCCTGTGATCAAATTTTTCTACTCCTTGAGGCAGGCGTTCATACTTAACAAGGCACGTTGAATTGCATGACAGCACTAATTGTGAGCAACTTTTGTTAAAAATCTTGCAACTTTGAAGGGGTAATTAAAACGTTCGTTTGAAAGGAATGAGGTCATCATTAAAAAAATCGCACTAATGTCTTCTGGCAAACTAATTATTATATTTTTTTTGTTAATCTTTTGTATCTAAGCGTAAAATCGTCCAAGGGCACGCTGTGAAAAATTTGAGTTACAGCTTGCTCAACTTTCTAATTAATACACATACGCTGCGCTCATATTAATTTTTAAGAGTACGTTTCGAAGACAAACATTGTCAAGCATTGACAAGTTTTGTCTTAGCAAAATAAGAGGGGTCCTTATTTACTCTACTCCATATCAGGAGCATGTAGACAGAATGAACTGTGGATCTGAAAATTGGATGTGCAAATTGGATTCACAGGGTGTGGGCTCCATGCACAACTTTCTTTCTGTATGTTTCTAATTTGGTGCCAGCGTTCCATTATTGGTGGATCCAGAGCATCAGTTTTCGAAGGGTGTGTGTGTGTGAAGTCCATGCACCAAGGAAAGGGCGCACCCTTACCGTAATTTGATAGGACTAACGAGATAAAAATTGTATCATGGCAACTACATAGAATAATATTTATTATTTCAATTAATTATACCGATAAACGTTTCCCCAGGAAAACGAAAGAAATTCTCCAGTGTGAAAACTGTCTTGCACTGGGATATTCGCAACACTATTGTTTTAGAAATCCACGTTGTGTAATTTGTGGGAAATTGAATGCCCCCGTCAAAAAGTATTCTAGAACTTTGCGCTCCCATTTTTCCAACATGAACTCTCTGTAACAGGAGCATTTTGGAGATTTTAAGGGGTGCAAGGTTTATCAGGAAATTAGAAAAAAAAGATTCCCAAAATCTGTCACAAATCCTTCTCAAAATCATCAAATTAACCCTTCCAATAATAACAAGCTAAAACCTGGTATTAGTTACGCCAAAATAGCATCAGGAAATAAGCAAAAGGAACAATTACAATCTCAAGTTCATAATCGAACTCAATCTATTAATCAACCAAGTTCAAATTTTCAAGAATTTGATGGACGCCTCTTATCTCTAGAGAGAATCGTAACTGAGCAATCAGCCCAAATTACCCAACTAATCACAGCAATAAATACTTTGCTCTCTTCCAATTTACTCAAGGAAAGAGAGCAAAGTATTTATTGCTGTGATTAGTTGGGTAATTTGGGCTGATTGCTCAATTACGATTCTCTCTAGAGATAAGAGGCGTCCATCAAATTCTTGAAAATTTGAACTTGGTTGATTAATAGATTGGGTTGGTAAAAGTTTAAAAATTCATCGCCTAGTGCTGTAAACCCATAATTTTTACAATATATAATCTTATTCAAACTACTCCAAGTGCAGGGGCGGTGCGGGAGGGGTCCCAGGGGGCTCCTTGCTGGAGCAACCACCAGACCATTGTAAGCGGAGAGAAGGGACAGAGCCAAAGGGCCAATACTCTTCCTTTTTGCAGGGTGTGCTCCCGAAGGTGGGGGGCTTGGCCGGTCTCTCCCCCTCCCCCACGTATCCCTCCACGAAGAGTATATTTTTTTATGTATGTAATTTATTTCTAAGGACGTAGACATTACATGTCATGGACCAGAATGATAAGTATTCTACTTACCATCCGTTCTACAGCTTTTTTATGCCGTGTACAATTTTCCATATATTCATGTCAATGGATACCAACAACTCTGTCGGTAGTAGTGACACTTATGTATTGATTTATGTCAATAATCTTTTAATAAAAAAAAAAATAATAAACATTTAAAAATAATCTTATGTCACGTAACAAATCTTGGTGTAAAGCTTAAAGTCTCTTGTTTCCACTGTTCGTTTACTAGGTTATTCCTAACATACTTTGTAGTGTTAAGTTTTGCTTCATCTTTACATCTTCATAAGTGTTTGCATTTGCTTGCATCCATAATATGTGGTAAGTATAGTTGAAGTTTTGTAGTTTTTAACCTGTAGATACATTCTGCATCCTGTAAAAAGATACCAAAATATTGGTAATGCTTTAGCGCTTTTCTATCACTCGCTACCTATTACTTCTGAAGATGGATCAAATTTGAAAGTGCACTTATGTCAACGGGGATAAAAATATTATCAAATATCAACATATAATCATTTAAGAACATTCAAACACTCTTGACGCTTTATAATTCATTGGTTCAACCATTTTGACATTTGCGCCACCTACATGGCATCCTACTAACAGAGACAACTTTGCAGAAATCAAAAGAATTCAAAGATGTATTCTTAGTTTCACTGGTAAAGTTAGTTAAAGTTAGTTCAACTAGTAGTCACTTAGTAAAACTAGAAAGCCTGTATCACTCTTTGATCACCTGTTCCCCCTTTATTCCTCTCTCAAAATATCTGAGCTGGTTTAAACACTTAGTTACAATTCCTTATTCTTATTTAAGCTCTTTCATGGTTTCATGAACTCCCCTTAACTTCTTAGTAAAGAGCGACGCCAAAAACGACCGTTTTTTGGCACAATTTGGGCCAGCGGGGAATTTTCTGAAACTGGGCCTAAACAATACCTTATGGTACCCTAAAACTCTGGTTAAAATTTTAGCTTGAGTATACGAACGGTTTTTGAGAAATGAGGGGGCAAAGTTGCCAAATCGCCATCATTCTGGACAGCAATTCTACAGCAAAAAGATGGGAAAAATGGACGAAAAAGTTACACTTTCGATGGGTTTCTGCTGTAAATGTTCTTATGGAGCCCCCAAGCATTGAACTGTGTTCAGTTTCAAAAATTTTGGTAGCACAGTGGTCCAAAATGGGGAGAAATCGTCGACAAATCAGGATTCTTTGTCGAATTTTTAAAAATGGAAATAAAATTGTCGGTCTGCTGCAGTTTTCATGGCTAACAATGTTCTTATCGGTCCTCAATGCAAGAAATTGTGTTCAGCTTCACAAATTTACATCGCACAGTGGTCAAAAATGAGGGAATTAGTGGACAAATTAACATCCTCTGTGAAACTTTTAATAATGAAGTGAAACTGTTGGTCCCCAGTAGAGTTTAGAGCCCGGAAAAATTCTTTAAATTATTTTTTGGACTGTTTAAATGTTTTTTTTTTAATTCTTTCTCTCCATTTTTCCTTCTTCTTTTTAAATTTTTGAAAGTTTGCATATTTTATTGAGATAATGCTACAAAGTCTATTCTATAAAAATGTTCTATACACAATACGGTCTGACATGCAGTAATAATTAAAAAAAATTAGATTCATGAATTTTTCTGGGATCTAAACTCTACAGGGGACCAACAGTTTCACTTCATTTGTAAAAAGTTTCACAGAGGATCTTAATTTGTCCACTAATTCCCCCATTTTTGACCACTGTGCGATGTAAATTTGTGAAGCTGAGCACAATTTCTTGCATTGAGGACCGATAAGAACATTGTTAGCCATGAAAACTGCAGCAGACCGACAATTTTATTTCCATTTTTAAAAATTTGACAAAGAATCCTGATTTGTCGACGATTTCTCCCCATTTTGGACCACTGTGCTACCAAAATTTTTGAAACTGAACACAGTTAAATGCTTGGGGGCTCAATAAGAACATTTACAGCAGAAACCCATCGAAAGTGTAACTTTTTCGTCCATTTTTCCCATCTTTTTGCTGTAGAATTGCTGTCCAGAATGATGGCGATTTGGCAACTTTGCCCCCTCATTTCTCAAAAACCGTTCGTATACTCAAGCTAAAATTTTAACCAGAGTTTTAGGGTATCATAAGGTATTGTTTAGGCCCAGTTTCAGAAAATTCCCCGCTGGCCCAAATTGTGCCATTCTTGGCGTCGCTCTTTAATTTAGCTGCTCCAGCCAGGCTATTGTGAGCTAGGAGCATTACATTTAATACTAATTCTAATAGTTCTGATAAGTCACTGGTTGTCAGAATGAGTAAGGTCGTTAACTCTGTGCCAGTTGACTTCTTTGACACTAAAATCTGCTATTTTAAAACTGCCCCTAGGAGATTATTCTTTTCCAATTTTTCTGGTTAATCAATAAATTATTTTGCTATTGTTGAGTCACTTTTGGCTAAATTTTTGTTACTCCTTTACCTCATTATTATATTCTAGTTTTCATTTAAGTTTATATCGTCAAAACTTATCTTGACCTTGACGCTGTCTTGTTTTGGTCTTTGCTTTTGAAATATTGTCTAGCTAATGGGTCTTCAAGACCCGTTGATACTGTGAATACATAAAGAAATAGATAAATATACCAACATCTTTGGTACGATTTTGTAATACATTAATGAATAGATACTAAAATGGCTCTGAAATTAAATAAAAAAAAAGTCCCATGCTGAAGGTATACATTTAAAGAGTTGCATTTCACCCATGGATAATTTTCTATGTAAGTATTTTTTTTTTTTAATTCTGCGCGTACGCTGAAAATCATGATATTGAGTGCATTGATTGAGGAGAGCAAAACCTAAATTCTTTCTTAATCTCATTATTACTCTGCGAATCTCTTACCAATCAAATCCAGGATCTTAATGAACGTTATCCCATTCGTATTTATTGACGAGTATACTCGTCTTGGCGCGCTTTGGACATACCTGCATTGACAAGTTAACTCGTGCCTATAGCATCATCTTTGCAAGGCACTTTTTTCGTTTTTCTCAGCTTCCAATGGATATAGCTAATAGCAATGTTCTAAGTTTCATTCTGATGTATTCTGGTGTATTCTGTTACGAACCTGAATAAATCCTAGTGACTTATTTTTCATAAGGAGCAACAAAGTATTTTAATTAAAAAATATTGTATTTCTTTGGGCAGCAGGCTAATTGAATCACTAAATACAAAAAGGGCACACGTCCAGAAAACCAAATTGTTCAGGAGACACAAAAAACTGTTTATTTCGTGGTATATATTTTTTGGAAAGTCGTTATGATTAAAAATACCGATGCGGGGCGAAGCGGAGCACCGGTTTTTTTAAACATAACGACTTTCCAAAAAATATGTACCACGAAATAAACAGTTTTTTGTGTCTCCTGAACAATTTGGTTTTCTGGACATGTGCCCTTTTTGTATTTAGTGATTCAATTAATCATCGCATGCTAATGGGTTAACCGGCTACTATTTTGTAGGTAGAGTTTCAGATGGTTTTTTCCACTCCAGGGTTTGACTCACAAGGGTCTCAAGAATTTGCACCAACCTCAGATTTCTACGATCAGCACACTTACAAAAATACTTTGTGCATGCTTGGGGTGTGCTGGTTTTGATTTTTGATTGGCAAGTAGATTATGAATTTCGCTTTTACAGGGTCCTTACAAAATGTTCCACCACTTTTTCCGATACCTAAAGAGTAAAAAAGTTACTGTAATTTTTCCATTAATATCACCATTCAATAGTTAACTGAAAAGTAAATTCTACCTGTAAAATGAAGAGGTTTGTGTGTTTTCGTAACCAACTGCAATGCCTGTGAGAGTGATTCCAATTATGACTTCACTCCCATTTTCGTCCTATGAAAAAATGAAAAGGTTGCATTACAGTCAAAATTTAAAGTTTAAAAGAAATTTTCTATTAGAGTCTCTTAAGCACCAGTGCAAGAAAAAATCACGAGACTTACAAATATAGAGGGAAGAGGCAACCTAATATTAATAATTTGTGACACTTTGAAAAAATTATGATGGAAATCACATACCTTGGCTAAGAATGTTTCTTGGCCGTATCCATCCAGCTGTTGAGTTGCTAAGATGTAATACTCTTCTGCGGTGCCTTGAGCTAATCCTACTAGAGATGCATGATGACAGATAACTGCCTCAGTCATACTTTCCAACTGAATCGTATCTGTGAAGTGCTGGCAATTCAAGAGAAGTATTAATCATTATACAGGGTGCCTACTAAAACAGGCTGGCCAAAAATCAGTACTTACAGAGTACTTTTTGAGTATATTGTCAAGAAATTCAGTGCCTCTTTGACAGAATAATTAAGTACTTTTACAGTAACTACATTTGACGATATTCTAAAAATTTCGAAAATTTGAAATTTTAACTCAAATTGCAACGAAATGACAAATAATTTCATTGGCAGTTTGATGCGCAATCGCGATCTTGCAGACAAATACTACTCTCAGATTATGTAGGATTCAGGACATTTAAAGCTTGAGGCAAATGATCAGTCATTCACCTTATAGTTTTAATCATTAATGGGTCATTCCGCGGCAACAATTCTAGGTTCGTAACCCGACCTCCCCTGATGTTGTTCAAAATATTGGTGCAAGGGATCTCTTAGTCTGTTGCCTGCGATCCAAAGATGTCATAAGACTCTGCACTTTTTGAATAGAATATGCCGCTATCAGGGGTCATTGGTGATGCCCGCAAGAGCAATTCTGGAAGGGAAAACACTCTAAGACACGCAACTGGAGCAAGACAGCGGCCGTTAAAGTGCGCCATATTGGTTTTTTCAAAGCACTGTCCCTCAGTTCCTATTGATCCGATTTTGATCAACTTGTCTTCCAATGAAAGGTATTTTCCCAGGAGAATAAGTTAACTTCGAATCATTTTTTCAGTTAGACTTACACCATTTTTAGTGTTTTTTCGAGGGAAATACACTATTGCGCTCCCTCTCATAATAGGACTTACACCTGGGACCATGTGAAGAGCACCAATCTCGAGTTGTAGATCACAAATATACATGCTACTCATTTGCTGTTACAAATATATATAGGAGAGAGAAAGAAGACTAAGAAATGGTCCGAAAATGTACGTAACAAGATGGTGAAATGGTGCTGGGTCCACACCATTTCGCAAGAAAAACGAAACCACAAATTACAATTGGGGTTAAAAATATCTTGAGCTCTGATGAGTACCAGTACAAAACTGAGGGGAAAGATTGTTCACCTCGAACAGTTTGCATAGGAATATTCAGTTGAGGTCACGCCGAGAGGCCTATAACGTTTTGGGTCTGTTTAGACCTCATTAGTAGAACATACTCGCCAGTGAACCCAACTTAACGTCCCGCAAATCGAGGACGACATTGAAACGCCGTCATAAATATGAGGTCGATTTCTCCAGACCCCCCCCCCCCCCCCCCCACCTTCCCAATATTAAAATTCAAGATCATCAAAGTTTTGTATTAGTTTTGTACCCAAATGTACCGCAAAGAAAAAGTTTTGTCCTCATCATGTAAAGTACGTGAACTTAAAACGCAGAAGGGGGGCTGGAGAAATTAAGCCCCCCCCCACTTCAAAAATTCTCCTCTTTCTTATCCACAAAGTTTTGTACTAATTTGTACCAAAATGTACTGTTCGAAATAAGTTTTGTACCCTCAGGGTGGGGGAGCTAGGGGGGGGGGTCAAAAGTGGGGGGGCTGGAGAAATATTTTCGAAAAAATGGACTTACGTACTCGAAAACCCTCAGAATGTATACTAAGATATTTGTACCGTCGAAAAAATCTGTGTGATCTGGGAATAAAAGTGTAGATCGGAATCACCCCGAGTTCTCTCCCCTAGCTCTCCCATTTGAATTGCGCGCCCCCTTTGGAAACGAGAGAAGCGTCAGAACAGCAGACTCATTACATGGTGTTTGGACCAATTTCCGTCAAGGACAATCCACGGTACCTGGGGGAGAACTCCATTTTCGTGGTGCAGTGAGGGTAAGTCTGTTTTTTTTCTTTCTCGCTGTGTTTTTGTTTTTTTACAGGAAGTTGATGGAGAAGAGTGTTTTTGATTCAGCGAAGTACCTTTGAGTCTAATTTTTTTTGCGATTTTGGAACGACTTTTAGTGAGTTGAACGGCATTTTTCAGGGCCGTGTCAATTTTTTTTCTTCTAGGAAAATTTAGTGTCTTTAAATTCTAATAAATGGAAGCTATTTCATAATTTGTTTTTTGGCGTCTTACATTTTCAGGGTTATTTTTTTTCTCTCTTTCAAAAGTCTTGAGGTATCTTCGGCAAGGATCGAGTTTCGCGTATTTTTTCTGAGTGTTAGACCGACAGGTTTACTCGTACATTTGAAATCGCTGACAAGTAAGAGAGGAAAAAAAAACCAAATTAAGGTAATTGTTGTTTACTAGAAGTTTAGTGACCGAGTGAAATCAAATTCGAGCTGATATTCATTTTCTCAGAAGAAAAGAGTTCTTTATTTTGTGTTTTTTTTTGTCATAGCAAAGCTGGTTAAGTCATTTGATATGTTCAGATATTTTTTTGTAAGAAGAGCCTAACAGTAAATTAGGTTTCAGTAATTACGTGTGTCAGCTTGATGATGCTTTAGTTTTTTTTCGTATTGAGGGCCTTCATGTATTATATTTTGCAAAAAAAACGGGAAAGTCCCGTTTCTTGAGTAGTAGCGAACCTTCCTGCTTCAACAAATTGGCGAGTTCCTCCACAACCCATACCTGACGGGACAAACCAAGCTGTCCTTGCCTTTGCAGCGAGATTACAAGCCTTGGGTGGGATGGAAACTGAAAATATGTCAATTTAGGGTTACGTTAATGGTCATACTTCCTTTTGAGCTGTTTTTTTTATTTTCTCATTGAATTGGTTCCGTGTCTGAATTTATCCCAATTGTCGTTGATGTCTGCTTTCGTTGGGACGATAGCTTTATTGAGGGTAAAGGAGATAAAACTAGATGACTAATGAAACCATGGTTTGGAAATTATACCATTAAGGCCGGCTCTTGGAAAAAGCGCTTAAGCTGGGGGAATTGAGGGATTTGGCAAAAACCGAAGTTCCCCAGTTTTTCCGAAACGGAAGGGAACCATCTAAGGTTGAACTCAGACAGTTGGTTGATCAATTAGAGGAGCAAGACATATTGTCATGGGTTTTGATCCAATTTGGTGCTGAGATTAGCCCGGGAGCAAAAGTCGTCCAAGTGGAAGAGCGAGGTGTAAATGAGGAGAGTGCGGAAAGTGAGACAGGGGAGTCAAGTAGGAGAAAATTCTCTAGTGAAAAGGAGGTGGGTCAAAATCTGGAAGTGGATGAAAATAGATTTGGGTTTATAAGAAACTGGAACTATTTGAATAGGTGCTCTTTAGAAAGAGTTTTTCAAGAGAGATATAATTTGGTGTACACTTTTAGATCGATCGGCGAGGCGAGAAAGGCATTACATAAAAAAGTGTTGGAACGAGTAGCGTTAACAGAAAAAGAGACGGTTCGTGAAGATTTAGATCAAACCAGGGCTACGGATTTTGAGGAATTTGTGGGAGATAAAACTCTTGGGGGGGTGAACGGTGAAGCTAGGGGTCAAGGATCGGAGGACCTCGAGAAAACGCCGTTAATTGGTTTGAAAAACCCATTTTCTAAGTTCAGAGACAGGACTTGGTCATTGGATTTTAGCAGAGTGTTGGAAAATCAGGATTTTTATGACTTCACACCGGAACTGCAGGAAAATTGCAGCTTGAGAAGTAAACCTAGAAGAGAGACTGGTGACCCGTTTGGGTGGGGGTTTGGCATTAATCAAAGGAAACAGCTGAGTAAAGCGAACATGTCTTTACATGGAGGTCTAGGAGCCTCTTTGGCAGTGCCAAGCAGTTGGGCAGAAAAGAAAAAGATGTTGGGAAACTCTAGGTTTTGGGGTGATGATAGAAAACAAATTGACAACTTTTGTTTCGAGTTGGAACAGGCCTTTAAAAGAGATCCTTCATACTCCAAGGCAGACAAGAAGTGAAAGTTTATCAGGAGACTGGATGGCGATGCCCAGAATTTTTTCATGGACAACGAGGACAGATTTGAAGACTCATCGATTGAAGAATTGATGGAGCAGTTTAAAAAGAGATTCAGGTCAAAGGATGAGACAGCGTTGGAGGAGTTTATGACGAGGAAACAGACATTTTCAGAATCGGACGTTCAATTTTGTGAGGAGCAAATCAAGTTGGGGAGAGCAGCAAAATCGTATATGAACGAGAGGACTATGATTGCGATCATCAAGGATTGTTACCGGAATTGAGAGCGGAGGTGAAAGTCACGAATGCAGTGTCTTTTGAGGAGTTGTTAGAAAACGCACACCGAGGAGAATTGGCGGCAAGGTTGAAAAATCCCACAGGAATGAGCTTTAACGTTATGGCAAACGGACATGGACATGGCGAGCCGGGATTGATTCAGGCAAATGACCAGAAGATTAATGGATACAGAAATGTTGGTAATTCCTAAGGTAATTCTAACCAATCGAGGGTCGGACTAATTCAACAACAGAACTTTGGTGAGAAGTTAGTGGGAAGGATTGAAGTTTTAGAGGACAAAGTTAAAGTTCTTGATCAAGGTCTGACCAGGTTGGTAGACAAGCAGACAGAATTGTCTAGACAGCTGAAAGAGTCTAGTTTATTGCTGAATGGCAAAATAGACTCGATGTCTCCTACGTTGGAAGTGTTGCTGCAAGGTCAACGAGATTTACTTAAAGGTGGAAGGCAGGCGTCCTCTAGAAATAAACCTGGAGCAGGGGGCGCTGGGAAAAATCAGTATCAAGTCTCGTAACCTTACCAATTCAAGCCGAGGCGCCCTCCCGTATGTTTTGAATGTAGTATTGAAGAGCATTACCGAAGTACGTGCCCTAATCGACAAACACAGGCTAATGGACAACAAGGTGCATACTGGAATAATGCAGGAAATTCTGGTAATTCTAACGGACAAGTGAATAATTGGAGTGGTAACCCGCAGCAGAGTAGTAACTGGAGAAACAACGTTGTCGGAATGATTGAGGTTAATGGCATTTTAGGTTCCCCAAAGGTGGCAGTAGGACGGGTAAACCAGGAAGAGACTACTGCAGATTCGTTGAGCAGAAGTGAGGCTCAGTCACCCGTGGGGATTGTTGAGTTGGTGGCAGAGAAGGACGGGAAGAAGACAGAAGTTGGAAAAATGGTGGTTT